AAAAAAAAAAAAAGCAGATTATAGGTAGCCATAAACTAAATCAAACCAAGTATTTGAGAAGGATTGTAGATTAATGTAAGATGCTCTTTTGAGCAAATGCTAAATTAAATGCATAATCCATCGATACAAGTCTACAATAGGTCAGCTGAAATATTCTTTAATGCACTTAGTTGTTCTTGTCATATTCTTCCAGTAAACTGGAAGTTTACATGTCTTGACGCTATCAATAGTACTATCTCCGTACTATTTAAGGTGTTTTTATCTGGAGTTACTTATTAAAAGAAATGATTATATAGCTCAGAAATTTATATTATAAAATATCAGCATTACCTTTTTAAACATAACTATCACTTGTAATTATCTTCTTACAGTTCCTTTGGAAGGACTAAGAAGTCAAAACCAATTTGAAGAGATGAGATCAAGCTACATTAGAGAGCTCATCAAGGCAATTGGTTTGAGGCAAAAAGGAGTTGTGTCTAGCTCACAGCGTTTCTATCAACTTACAAAACTTCTTGATAACTTGCATGATGTAAGTGTTTGGTTTTCAGAGATTATTAATGATTATACTCTGAATTTCTATAACTTTTTAAATGTGACATTTAAATTTTACTTCACATATTTTTTTAAATTCCTATTTGTACTTGTGTTTTAAGAGTGTTTGTATCACACTGCTCAGAATTTATATTATGCTTTCATTTTCCGTGTAGATCACCTAAATATCCTTTTACAAGTATTTGTATGATCTGAGAGTAATTTAATGGCTGATAGGAATTATGATACATTATCCTGAATATGTTCTAAAATATTGTTGCCTTAAGTGATAAAAGATTTCATGTATCTTACAAAAGCAAAAGTATGTATGTGGAGAATAAGGCTTTCATACTATTTTGGGTGGAATTATAAATAACATTGCTGATGGATGGGCAATCAGGCAACATATAGCAAAAGTTAAAATCTGCATGCTTTTCAGGTTTGTTTTTTAGGATTTATCTTAAATTAGGCAAGAATGTAATAGAAATATACACATCCTCTCTCTCTCT